CCGTGTACACGATAACTCGAGCAAAAATTGAGATATCTCAACGAAATGTGGTATGTAGGTTTCTGTTAATCCACGGTAGGTTGGTGTTGAAAATGGGCGAAATCGGACTAACCACGCCCACTCCCAATAACGGTAATTTCAGAAATACGAAAACTGCGATATTTTAGTAACTACTGACGGACAGACGGACAGACGGACGGACAGACAGACATGGCTTAATCGATTTCTTTTTTCATCCTGATCATTTATGTATACATTTGTCTATATCTATCTCGATTCGTTTTGGCTGTTACAAACAACCGTTATGTGAACAAAATTAATATACCCTTGTGCACAAGTGCGCTCGGGTATAAAAATAAGTACACGTTTTTGGTGTGAGATTATAACTTGAGAACGGCTTCACCGAACTCAACCAAATTTATACAGCATATTCAAGCTATCATGCAGATGGTTTTTGTGAAGTTTGCCCAAATTCGTAAAAGGGGGTGTGGCACCTCCCATACTAACTAAAATTTTTATATTGTATATCTCTTGAAATATTTGTGGTAGAGTACTGGAAATTGGTATAGAGGTATATCAAATAATTTCATATTCATGGAGAAAAATGTGCGGTATTGGAAAAAAGGGCGTGGCACCTCCTATCTTACATATAAAAAATGAGTGCAAGATTTCAACCAAATTTATACGGCGTATTCGGGTTATTATGAAGATGGTTTGTCTTAAGTTTCCCCGAATTCGGAAAAGGGGGTGGCACCACTCATACTAACAAAAATTTTCTTCTGGTATATTTGAAATATTTGTGGTAGATTACTGGAAATTGGTATAGAGACATATGAAATAATTCCATACTCATGGAGAAAAATGTATAAATATAATGTATTGGAAAAGGGGGCGTGGCACCTCCCATCTTAAATAAAAAAAATAAGTGCACGAATTCTACCAAATTTAAACAGTACATGCAGATGGGTTATGTGAAGTGTGCCCGAATTCGGTCCAGCGGTTCATGATATATAACAGTTTATGTCTGTTACATGAACCACGTATATGGTACAACAGCAGATACATGACAAATCGAAAACATAGTGAAAAATTGTTGCTATGATGTGCTGTGTTTATTTTTTCTTCGGATAAATTAAGTCGAGTATAAACATGGCTGCAATATAGTAAAAAAAAAAATTCAAATAGAAAAATTCCAGGATGTTTCATTAATTTTTCAATATTTGGTGTAGAGAAGCACACCGGGGTACCGCTAGTTTACAATAAGTTTTAGAAGAAAAATAAGAATACTATAAATTTTTGGAAAATGGAAAATGGGGCCACTTATGGTTACATGTGTATATCTTGATAACTGCTGCACCAATTTCTTCCAATTTGGAGCAGGTGTTCGGCTTGTTACAGCATACCAAATGGCCGAACATTTTTATAATCGGACAATAACCACGCCCAATCCCATATAACGGTAATTTAGGGAAATACGAAATCTTCGATAAATCAGTAATTATTAAAGCTAATTTATTCAAAATTGTTACTGCAAAAATTCTTTACCAAGAAATACGTTTATGATAAAATTTTGGAAAATGGCCGTGGCCCACTTATGATTGCATGTATGTATCTCGGTAACCGTTCTACCAATTTGTACCAAACTCGGTATTGTTATTGTGCTTGCCACATAGAGACAAAACGTTGAGAATTATTGAAATCGGACTAAATTGAGGCTGCTTTTCATATAACGGTAAATTTCAGAAATGCGTGAAACTTCAATATTTAGAAATTTAAGGACGCTAATTTACTCAAAATTGATACACGCCGGCTTACCATGTAGCGGTAGCTTTCGGAAAGGTGAAAATCATATATTTAATACTTAATAATATTGTCCTACGCCCGAAAGAAGTGTACGTACTAAGTTTCGTTAAGATATCTCAATTTTTACTCGAGACACAGACGGGGGTCAAGGCTCTTGATATTGCTTCATACGTGTTGTAATGTTCTGAGTCAGGAGCGGATGGCTCAAGACCGACCATACGTGGCGACGAGTCACACCCTGCGAGAGGTGCCCCTGCTTTTACTGAATATGGCGGATCTAGAGAGGACAACTCGATAAAACCCGTAATTCCGAGTGTCATCCGTACCGTGCTTATGGGATGAATGGCACTACGTAAGTGTGTCTTATAACGGTGGCCTCCAGATACCTGGCGCCCTCTGGTTGTAAGAAGTCTTGCTCGGGATATTGGGGGCTATGTCCCAGCTGACATCCCTTCCCCCATACTCGTGGGACACACATGAATAGTAAAAATATAAATCAAAAGCCAGAAGGAGCTGCACAGCTCCAAACAATGGCCAATGCTGGCCTTTCGACTTCTGTCGAAACAGAAACCATCGCTACGGAACTACCGGGGGCGCATAGTCCCTCGTACGACGTAGAGATGGTGGATACTAGCGTGAGACAGGATGCAAGTCCCGTCAGAACGCTATCTGATATCTCGCCGGAGGATGAGCAGAAGTTGCTTGCCTCTCCGGTGAACAACCCACCTCACCAAGCTCGAGAGCGGGAGCGGCTTAGCGGAGCCGGTCGGAAACGCCTCAAGCGGTACATAGAAAGGGGAATGAGCTATGAGCAGGCTAGAGAAAAAGCCAAAGAACCCGTTGGCCCACCACGGAGGGAAAAGAAAACTCTCCAAAAAAGACCTAGGTCTGATAGCTCTACCCCGCAGAGGCGATCCCCGAAGAAATTCGCCAAATCCAGTGAGGGATCTGCAGGGGGCAGGCCAGGTGGGACTGCATCTGTGCCCACCGGGGAGGCAACTGTGCCGCATGCACCTGCAGATTGTCGCGGAGAGCCGGTTTCATTTAGGGATGCACTATGCGGAGTGAAGCTGGGCTTAGTCCCAGAGGACTATCCAACCACAGTGTGGTCAACGGATGAGCTCAAAGCTATCCAAAATGCCATCCTCAGGGCGGTCAGGAGCAACACAGTTAGCGCTGTAAAGCCTATCTTCAAGGGTTGCACCTTCCACTCGGGATGGCTATCCATCAGTTGCAGAGATGCTGCGACCGCGGGGTGGATACGGAACACTGTTCCAAAGCTGGCACCATGGAAGGGGGCGAAGATGAAAGTGGTCGAGGAGGCAGAAACACCTCGCCGCATCATTCTTGTGGGACTCTTCCCAGAGCTGGACAGCTCTGCCAGTGAGGATGCGCTCAGTCTGCTTCAGGCACAGAATGACGGCCTGAGAATTCCGGACTGGCGCATTCTGAATCGAGTACGCAGGTCAACAATGGCGGAAATCACCATTGCAGTTGACCCGCTATCAGCGGACACGCTAAAGCACCGCGGGAACGTGGTAAACTATGGCTTTGGCGTAGTAAAACTTAGGGAGAAAGTCAAACCGTCGATGCCCGTGGTAGACAAAGATGCCGCCGACACCGAATACCCTAACTCGGAGGAGCAACCTTGCTGCTCCAAAGACGTCATCGTAGCTCCCAGGCAGCTACCCAATGACACGCAAGTGCAGCAGAAGTCATCGGAGGTTGGCACAGAGCTACACGTAGCATACAAAGCTCCAACAACGCCTCCGAAAACAGCAACAACAACATGCCCGACCCTACAACAGGTGCTGGAAGAAGCCCAAAAAGGCGTTGGACCCATCGCATCCCCAAAGCCTGCAAAACGGCCACCACTACGTGGCAGCTCCAAAGCGGCTATGTCCAGCCGCAAAGGCAAGGGAGATGCAAGGACGGCCGAAGAAGCGGTCTTGCTGAAGGGCAACAGGGGGAAGAAGGTGGCTGCTCGCGGCCGAAAAGACCGCAAGTAATGGCACCTCACCCCAAAAACTCCACAAATCTGAGGCACATTAAATGCCTCCAAGTGAACCTTCACCACGCGAAAGCAGCATCAGATGTTTTACATAGGAGGTTCACAAACGAAGGCTTAGGTGTAGCCTTCATCCAGGAACCCTGGATATTAAGAGGTGACGTCAAAGGCCTTAATATAAAGGACGGTAAGATTATCTATGCCGCCAGCTGTCGCCCAAGAGCGGCGATGCTATTATGTAACAAAATAACGTTTCTCCCTCTTTCACAGTTCATTACGGCAGATCTCGTTGCGGTATGGGCCAAAATTCCTACTCCTAGGGGGGTGCAAGAGGCAGTACTTGCCTCCGCGTACTTCCCGGGTGAGGAGGAGATAGCCCCGACACCTGAGGTAAAGGCGCTTACGGATCACTGCCGGCAGAGTGGTATACCCTGGATCCTCTGCTGTGATGCAAATGCCCATAGCACTGTCTGGGGGAGCACCGACACCAACAAAAGGGGTGAGTACCTCCTTGAGTTTATAAGTAGTTATAATATAAGTATTATAAACCATGGCAATGAACCAACGTTCAGGAACGCTATTAGAGGGGAAGTCTTAGATCTTACTCTAAGTAGTCAGAACATGGCAGCGTCTGTCACAAACTGGCGCGTCTCAGGGGAGGTATCAATGTCGGACCATATGCACATAGAATTCGACATTGGCCACTTTCCTGAGCATGAACTAGTTTTTAGAAATCCCAGAAAAACGAACTGGGAATTCTTTCGCTTTATCATGGAAGAAGGTGGAAACAGCCATGGTGGTCAAATTACGACTGCGCACGAGCTTGAAACTGAAGCTGAACAGCTTCATTCAGACATTGGAATAGCTTTCAATAGTAGCTGTCCCCAAGGAAAGGTAAAATCCAAACGTGATGTGCCTTGGTGGAGCAAGAAGCTTGAGCAAATGAGATGCCAAGCCAGAAAACTATTCAATAGAGCAAAGAATACGGGTGATTGGAATCCGTACAAACTTGCACTAACTTCTTACAACAAAGAATTGCGGAAATCCAAAAGAGCTAGCTGGCGAAACCACTGCGAGGAAATAAAGAGCCTCCCAGAGGCAGTACGCCTCCAAAAAGCTCTAAATAGGGAACACAAAAATACGATCGGCACTCTAAAGAAACCAGATGGTAGTTATACTCAGCATCCGGGAGAGACTTGCAGACTTCTGCTAGACACTCACTTCCCGGGCTGCAAAGCGGGCTATTATCTACCGGAATTGGGTGTCCCAGCACGCACTTCTGGTAGAGAGCAAAGCCTTGCAACTAAACTTACCACGGTAGAAAGAGTGCAATGGGCGATATCTACCTTCAGCCCATACAAATCACCAGGACCAGATGGGGTCTATCCTTGTCAACTCCAACAAGGTAGTAACTACATAGCCCCAGTCCTCTCCAGACTATACAGAGCGTCGCTCCTACTGGGTCACATTCCCAGTAGATGGACTGAGGCTAAGGTGGTATTTTTACCGAAGGCAGGTAAACCGGAGCAAATGCCTTCATCCTACAGACCAATTAGCCTCAGCTCCTTTCTCCTAAAAGGCATGGAGAAAATCTTGGATCAACATATCAGAGAAGTCAACCTAGCGGAACGACCACTGAATAAGAACCAATTTGCCTATCAACCAGGCAAGTCCACTGAGACTGCCATTCACAGCCTTACATCGAAAATCGAAAAGGCTCTGGAGTCTAAGAACATAGCCCTTTGTGCCTTCATTGACATTTCAGGGGCTTTTGACAACACGTCATACAGGGCAATAAGAGATGCCCTGATATGCAAGGGAGTGAGCCCCATCATAATAAATTGGGTGCTTTCTATGCTAAAAACAAGGAAGATCAGGATGGAGCTGGGAGGCACGAAAGAATCGATTACAGCCACAAGAGGTTGCCCTCAAGGGGGTGTACTCTCTCCTCTTCTGTGGACTATGGTTATAGACGAACTCCTGTTCCTACTGAACGACCATGGCTTTGAAACACAAGGATATGCAGACGATCTGGTAATTTGTGTAACAGGGCTGCATGACGAAACGATCTCCAACCGCATGCAACAAGCCCTGCGCATTACGCAAAGATGGTGTGACACCAAAGGATTATCCATTAATCCTACTAAATCTATTCTGGTTCCGTTTACCCGGAGGAAAAAGTTATCCATGACAGAATTGACTCTGGGCGGCACTAGAATAGGGCTCTCAAATGAAGCAAAATACCTGGGGGTGTGGCTAGATAAGACACTCACCTGGAATGTACATTTGGATGCAACCGTAAACAAGGCAATGAGAGCCTTCTTCGCATGCAAGCGACTTTACGGGAAGACATGGGGACTCTCCCCCAAAATGACTTACTGGTCATTCAACACAGTTGTGAAGCCGATAGTCACCTATGCATCCTTGGCATGGTGGACAAAAGCGACACAAAGAACTGCTAGCGCAAAACTAAGCAAACTACACCGAATGGTGTGCATTGGTATAACAGGGGCTATGCGGACCTGTCCTGCTGATGCACTTAGTGCTCTTGTAGGCATACCGCCCTTCCCAATTCTAATAGAGAGGGAGGCCAGTCTCTCGGCACTGAGAATCCTAAACACTTCCGAGTTAAAAACCGGAAACATGACAGGTCATATGAAGGTCCTTATGAAATTCACAAATGACCCCATAATGCATATGAGGGACTCAGTAGCTCCGATACTAGTAATTTCTAGGAATTTCAAGGTATCTATTGCGGACCGAGCATCCTGGAGCACAGGAAACCCCTACACCAAACCCGGAGCTGAAGTTTGGTACACTGACGGATCAAAACTTGAAGATGGAAAAACTGGAGCTGGTATATTTGGGCCGAATTTTAAAAGATCGATACCAATGGGCAGCTACCCCACCATTTTCCAAGCAGAGATTCATGCGATCGATATCTGTGGCAGAGAATGCCTCAGAAGAGGCACATCCTCTAAAAACATCTGCATTATGTCGGACAGTCAGGCTGCCTTGCTAGCACTGAGGTCCCACATAATAACATCCAAACTAGTGTACGACTGCCTCAACACCCTAAACGGTCTTGGAAGCAAGAACACAGTATTACTGGGCTGGGTGCCGGGGCACGAGGGCACGGCAATGAACAGACGGACCGCCTAGCAAAACACGGAGCTACCACACTATTCCATGGACCGGAATCCTTCTGCGGGCTCACCAAAGCCCACTTAAGGCAGGTCATAAACAAGTGGGTCGACAAAAAATTCGAAAGGCACTGGAATGAATGTCCGGGGCAAAGACAAGCTAAGCGGTTCATCTGTCCATCACAAGAAGCTTCAAAAAAGCTCATAAATCTAGGCAGGGAGGACCTTCGAACTCTCACTGGGTACTTCACGGGACATTGTTCCCTGCGTTATCACCTCAGTAAAATGAATCTTTCAGACACGAGCGTCTGTCGCTTCTGTGAGATGGACGAAGAAACGCCAGAACACATCCTTTGTGAATGTGTTGCTCTCGCTAGACGCAGACTCGCTCACCTAGGTGGTACAACACTTAATCCATTCGAAATTCATATAACGGTAAATTTCAGAAATGCGTGAAACTTCAATATTTAGAAATTTAAGGACGCTAATTTACTCAAAATTGATACACGCCGGCTTACCATGTAGCGGTAGCTTTCGGAAAGGTGAAAATCATATATTTAATACTTAGTAATATTGTCCTACGCCCGAAAGAAGTGTACGTACTAAGTTTCGTTAAGATATCTCAATTTTTACTCGAGACACAGACGGACGGGCAGACAGTCACCGCTTAATCGATTTCTCTTTTCATTCTGATCATTTATGTATACTTTTGTCTATATCTATCTCGATTCGTTTTGCCTGTTACAAACAACCGTTGTTGTTGTAAACAAAGTTATAATACCCCTGTGCAAATGTGCGCTTGGGTATAAAAATACAGTAAAACCCGCTTAATTACCTCACGAAAAATGTCAGCTTTTTGAGGTACTCAAACGGATTGGGTACTTAAACGAAACAGCTTTAGTACTTAACGAACATAATTATTGATGTAGTTAATCTTCTTGTTAACTTACATAAATAAGTTCTTAAATAAAACATGAACATTTAATGAAGTGTACGCAGTTTAAAACCAAGATCGTAGCATTATTTAAACACATAAATACATAAAAAAAAACTTAAAAAAAAGTCGATAAAGCATTGTTATGTAATTTTTACAAGAATTCAATTCTTTAAAGTCTTTGATTATATGTACATATTTGTACATACATACAGTGTTGGACATATCTATCATTTCGGACCAAATTCAAAATGATGTTGTTTGAACTTATTAATTTTTAAGATTTTTCAATAAAAACAAAGTGAATTCCCTAACAAATACCATATGGACTAAGCTTAAAATTTTTTAGAACACTGAAAAAAATCATTAAATTTTCATTAAAATATCAAACTTTTTTCTCAGAAGTGTTTATAGCCCATTCAATTTTAGTGTAATAATGTGCTAGCTTTTTTTTTGAGGGGAAAATTATAAGTGAAATGGTAAACGGGGTACGAAAAATTTAGGTACTTAGTCGGGTTGGGTAAATAAGCGGGGAGGTACTCAAGAGAGGGATTTTCTTCAGATTACATTAAGATATTCACGGTGCCCGAAAATGTTTGTTACTTAAGCGGGCGGGTTCTTAAGTGGGTTTCACTGTAAATAAAAAAAAATCCATGACGTAAATTTTCCGAGAAAACTAGTTATTATTTTTTTTAATGTTACAGCATATTACTAGCATTAGCTTCGAATTTCCATAAGTCTCTGATTTACTGAGAGTTTTGTATAAATTTGCTCAATTCATAAAGAGTTAGCATTGTCAATCTCTCCAACTACACTATTTTGGACTTTAATACACAAATCGGGTTTATCAGTATCTTTGGAAAGAATCCTGGCTGTAGCGCAACATTTTTTATGTATTTTTAATGAGAAAAAAAAGCAAGTACATAAAACTGTATTTTGTCATAATTCTGAAATAAAAAAAAATACAAACCAGAAGATTAAATTGGTATTGTGTTATTGAATCAAAAGTAAAAAAGTAGTGGTTTATTAATGAAGGGGCCAGGGGATCTATCCCCCCAATGACCCCCTCTGGCTACGCCACTGTATACGGTCATTGAACTAAAATTTTCTGTACCATCCACAAGCAATTATATTATCGGACCTGATTTTTCCGTTGTGCCTCTTTTGAAGATGGTGTGCGATATGTACATATGTTTGTATGTATTTCGTATTTGCCAGCCCAACGCAACAGCTATTTTTAATTTTTTTTTTAACAGAAACCTGTTTGCTTTACCTTCGTAAAAGAAATATACGTACATAGGTAATACTTTCTTTGCTTACCGTATCGTGCCCATAGAAGTTTGTGTTATTAATAAAAAAATCAATAATTGCGCATCTTAAAAATATGGCGCGAACTTCACTTGCTTTCACAAGTAAAACTGCTGAGTGGTTTTGTGGCGGTCGGTTTGTTCAATATGTGTCGCACGTGCACACATGCTCAGTGCAACACACGTGTCATAATTCCATTACAGGGCTTTGTAATAAAACGCTGTTTCAAAGGAAGGAGAGAACGACATTAGATAATGTGTTAATTACACCATACATAATAACCAAATATTTTCCATAATAAGTAACAAGGTTCTGACAACGGATTTTGGTAGAGAGAACAAAAAAAAATATCTTCAATAGGCGTTTTCAAAGTTTACTTTTGAGTTTTATTTTAGGAGGTCAAATTTAAATCTCGAGCTTTGATGTATTCTGAGGGTAATGCTCGTTGTCGAATTTAATGGCCCTTCACACACGAGAACAATTATGCATGCACAAACATGAAATATATAAAAGTAGTGTATAAAAAAAAAACAGTGGCTTATACGTAGTAGGGTCATTTGATTGTAAAATCGCGTGTGTTTTGGTGCTAGGCCCGGTTCATGCAGGTCCGAAGGTGAAGCTATTTTAACGCACGAGTTACAATGCCCTTCATCCTCCTGTCCAATAAGCGACAGCTAAATTCATATCTAGGCAAAACGTTGCTTTCATACCTAAATAAACATTATTTCTTTTATACTTCTAATAAAGGTCCTCAGCCGTCGTCGTCTCTGCATCCGCATGCACAGCCGGAAGTGCCTCCATACACTTCATGTGGAGGCGACTGGAAACAGGCATAGCTCTGATCTTTAGCGCACACAAGGAGTTTCTTTTCCATTTCTTGGGCCTCATTTTATATGAATTTTTTGTTTTTCTTCAGAGCTTTTCAATGTTTAACTGATGAAAACATTGTCCCAAAAATATGCAGTGCATTCTCACTTACTAAAGGAGTTTACCACTGATAGGATTCCAACTTCGAATTCGTTCCACCAAAATACATAATAAAAATATAAGTTCAGTTAATTTTTTCGGTATTCGAAATATTGTCAAAATGAGGCAATGGTGAAAAATCACCATCTATATTGAAAACTAGAAATCAGAAATCGAGTAAAAATAACATTAACAGCCGTATTCTAACACGCGCCTCAAAGCTTACCGCTCAAAAAATATGCCGCTACAGTTCAATTTTTTAAATTTTTGTGACATATTTCTCGGCGCTTTTGAAATCACAACAGTGATGAGCTAAGTTTGTGACTTTGTTAGAATAGAGGGGTAAAACTACTTTTTAAAATTCTTTATTACCGACACATAAAACGCTTTAACCCACTTCGCTGGGATTCAAAATGTATGCATAAACCATGGTACAATTATTACAGGTATTGTCTTCCCAGAGAGTTTTGCTTCACATCGAAATTCGTGCTCTCTTATTTTCTGTTTGACGCTTTTCAATGTTGATTCTTTTTTTACTTTTTAGTTGGCTTTGCTTTTCGTTTTCGCTCAATTTAATTTTTATAATTTTTCAAAACAAAAAAGAAACGTTTGAAATAAAGTGAGCAATAAAAATTATCGATTTGTTTACTAAGCAAATGTTTATTTTTCGGTTTTTGCAAATTAAATAAGTTTTCTGCAAGAAGGTCTGTTTACAAAAAATACGTGGACATACATATGACAAGCTCAGAACAAAAACGACGAATATTATAAGTCAGAGCAAAAATGAACTATATTTTTTTCTAGAGCAAAAACGAAACAAATCGACAGCGTACATGTGAGCTTTGTGTGTATGCGGTATTTCGTGCGCGCTCGGTGTTTTCTGCTGCAAAATGTAGCGGCGAAAACGTTTATTTGTACATTGCAATACTGCAATCGGTTTCGTAGTCTCATGTCCATAATTTGCGTATGCTTTTTCAACCTGCAAGCAAGCCACCAAAACAGTGTGATGAAGAGACTAACTGAATAATTATACCAGTTTACAAGATTCTGACCTGTGGCATTTGGCCATCATTACCTACTCATGCAAAATTTTGTCCTTCAAGTAGAAAAGTTTTCGAGTGTTTCGAAACTTCGTTTTTTGGAGATCTGAGGAAAAATTTCAAATTTTTTATATATGTAGTTAGTTGGCCAATCTCATATTTCTTTTTACATTAGTGAAGATTATTAAATTTGCTATCACCTACAGTCGTGTGAAAAATAATAGGGAAACTACATTTTGACCAGTT